AACAGCTTCCTCGCTGATCTCCCTACTGTTGGGGTAGAATAGATTCTTGCCTCGCGCAGGAAAGAATTCAGGAGCAAGGCGTGGTAAAGTGGAAGGAAGTTTTTTTAGAGAGAGACACACTCCATGGGCAGAGTGCGGTCTGTCTCCCTCAGAAGGGAAAACGGCTTAGGAGATACCCATTCCATAGGCAGAATGCGGGCCATCTCAGGAAGGTGAGAGGGAGAGAAGCTGAGAGGTGTGGGGTGTTCAGAGTAAAAGTAGATACGCACTCCTTAGACGGACTGCGGGCCATCTAAGAAGGTGAGCACGATGGAGCGAGAGCGACCACGAGGTGTGGGGTTGTTAGGTTTTATGGGCTCGGTAATTTCACATGCTAATACGGATTGTTCCAGCTAGTTTGAGGAAGGGGTGAGGATTTCTGGGAATTGCCCCCCCTCTTTGACCTTTTATGGTCAGCCTAGGAACTGTCATGGCACCTTTGGCTGTGCCATGAGGCTCAAGGTCTACTGAAGGTTGAGTCTTCCGCCATCTTGCTTGTAACCAGTTTGTCCTGTCCTCAGTGGCTGGGTCCTTCTTCACTGGCTGTGCTCTGCCCCCTTTCCTCCCACTTCACTACCATGAGCCTCATCCCCCCCATCTGCACCAGAGCAAACTTCACAAGTGATTTCAGATTCACGGTGCTCCTTTCAGCCTTTCATGGTTCTCTTTAACTTTCAGATTAAAATGAAAATTCCTTAGCATGTCATACATATTTAGGCCTCTGAATTCTTGTCTATGCAACTGTGTTCCCTCATTCCCCAGCCTTACTCAGCTTCTTCTGGGTTTTAGGAAGAGCTCACCTCTTCCTCCGCCTCCCCTGTTTCTCTTCTCTCTCCCATTCTGTTCCATTGGCCTGGAATGCCATTCCCATTTCTTCATTTGGCTATTGGCTATGATCCTGCCAGACTCAGTTCAAAGGTCACTTCTGAGAAGCCTTTCTTGACTCCACTCAGCTGGGCACCCCACCCTTCCCCCAGGGCCTTCTTGTTCACGCCCCATCCATAACACTTGTCCTACTGCATTTTGACTCTTACTTCCTCCTGCATCTGACTGGGAGGGCTCTAGTTCACCTCCCTATTCCCAGCACTTAGCTCGAGGGTAAATAGCGAAATTCTCAAATCATTTTTAATGAATGAACATCGGAACCAGGTCATAGTTGTCCCATATCTCATTTTCCTTTTCTCACTTTTCTTCATCTATAAACAGAAGATCATAAGGTGGATTGAATGAGAAAATGTTTGAAAAGCAATTAGCGTTGTGCTTGGCGCATAATAAAACATACTTGTTTTTTCACTCTTCTTTCTCTACCACCCTTTCTAGTTTCAGGTTCCCCACACCTGGTGGCTCATGCCTGACTGGTACCAGAGTCCCCACCCAATCAGTGCCTCCTTTTTAAATACATAACGAAGACTTCCCAGTCAACCAGTATTTATGCTGGTCACATGCAAACTCTGTGACTTTTGTACCAGCACCTCATCATCACTCACCGCACATACTCACTGCCTCCTACTAAACATACATTCAGCATCTCTCTTACCCTTAACTCAGTCATCTTACTAATCACAGGGAAACTCCACTGTATGGATTTCTCACCAAAGCATGGTCTTCTTTTTAAGAAAAAAATTTGTCAGTACTTAAGGTTGATCCTTTATGCCACTACAATGAATACAGATAATCCTCAATTTTCATTATTTCACTCTATTCAACTCACTTTTTCCACATTGTATGTCGGTACACTTGCATTGCCTTTCTCATGCACCGTTCAGCCTGTGTATTAGCTAATGAGCACTAGCACAGGATACCCACATGCCAGCAGTTAAGTACCAGGCATTTGCCATCTTTACCTGTAAAACAGAATTATTTGTATAATTATTGGAATGGCTTTATTGCCTTTTCCTTTTTTTTCCTGCACTTAATTTTATTACTTAAAAAAAATGATAAGGCACGATCTTTTGTTTATTCACTTTCTTAACAATCCACAGAAGCACTGGCAAATCTCCACCAGTAATTCTTTCCCAGTATGAACTCTAGTTTTTTCAGTCTTTGATTTCAAATAAGCTGAAATAGAAGTTAAAGAAGTTATCTCAGCAAATTAATTCTCATTATTGGTATTTAATGTTTAGTCCATGTTTAAAATATTGTCACAACCACTTATACATGGACACGTGGTAACATTCAAGAAAAAAGTAAAAAATTATACCATACTCAGTGACAGTCAGTCTTGGCTTTCTGGGAGTGGGATTTTTTCCATGTAACATGTAAATGTAATGTTTAGGGTTCATTTATTTGATTTCCATCGTTGTTTTGAGAAATATATTATGATGAAAGGTCAAGAACTTTTATCTTAATATTGGGAACTCTATTTTGCCTTCTACTGTATGATTTTTTTTTGTTTGCTTGTTTGCTGAACTGTTTATACATAGGAAATATATAGAGGAAACAATTTTTTTTAAATAAAAACAATCAATCAATGTCCATAATGAAAGGTAATCTTATTATCAGCAGTCTCAAATTTCCAGAAGTTTTAACTTTTTTATGAATTATTTACCCTGTATAAAATATCATACTGAAAAAGGCAAAACTTTCGATTAATGCTAGTTTTGAAGGTCTCAAAGTTATTCATCTATAAATTTAATTTTATTTTATTTCCAATTAAAGTTCCATCAGGTTTATTATTATTTTTTAAACTGGGTGTATCAGAAGTGCCAAAATAATTAAAAAAAAAAACAAAACAGGTAATGGATGGGGACTGCACCTACCAGATAGCAAAGCATACTAAAGACAACATAGTACATTTGAAACAACAGTCAGAATTATCAGCATACTTAATAATATATCAGTGTAATAAAGGAGAGACTAGAAATGTGTCTAAGCGTATGTGGTAATTTATAATAATCATTTAATGGTTCATTCTTTTATTCAATCAATTGACATTTATTGATTGTCAGAAGCTGTCTAGATGATGGATGAATATCAGGTAATCATAATTCTTACTAGATTATTAAAAATTAAAAAACTGATAAAGTCAATTAATATTGTTTGTGGTTAAGGAAGTCCTATCAAGAACTGTCGATGGGATGTAAATTGGCACATCTTGTTGAGAAGGCAATTTGGGAAAACTCTATGAAAAATTATTTGCATGTATCCTTTGATATGGCAACCTCCTTTTTAAGAGTCTGTCTTATAGAAATATTTCAACATGTGTGTGTTTCTTTGATTATGTACATGTGTGTTCATATATATGTGTATATATGTATATATATAAATGTTCATTGTGGTATTGTTATTAATAGCAAAACCTGGACTCAATCCAATTCTGTGGGATTAAGGGAATGGTTAAACATGCGTGGTACGAATTAATGAGTATTATGCAGAATTTTGAAAAATGTATATGTATGTGTACATAGAATGATGTTCATGATAATGTGGGAAAATCAAATTACAGAAGAGTATAGTAGAAAAATTCAATGTCAGAGTCTTGGTGCCGAATTCGCACTCTCATACCTTTATACTGACCAACTCTGGGAAAAGCAAGTCTGCTCTCACTGCAAGAAAACGAGTTGTTTTAGGTATCTGTCTGCTGGATTTGGATGACCAGCTTTCAGCTTTGCTTCACTTTGTCTTTGATGAGCTACATTTCCCAGATTCACTTTCTTGTTATTCAGCTATCTCATGACTTCTTTCAGAAAGCATGTGAGGTTGTTTTCCATGACTTTATTACTCTTTGTGCAAATGGTAAATTTCTCCTAAAATGTAATCGTCTTCATGAGTTTATACTGGAGTCCTCCTGCAAAGGGTGGCGTTTGCACAAACCTTTCAGAGGTCATTCGAAGGGCTGCTGTCTAGAGGCAACTCTGCTCAACTGGAGACACTGCCTTTTAGGTGCTCCAGAGAATTTCTGGTACAAAAATAATAGTAATAATTTTGTTAAGTTTAAATTGGGTGAGAAAGATGACATTTTATCATTTATACAATGTCTAGAACAATTTCTGGAGTTTATGCAATTGATTTGTTAGTTTATAGTGAGCACTTAGTAATAAAATGATGATTTGAGAAATTCTACCACTGATAAGTTATACTGAATTTCAATTGATAAGTGAATTCATGTATTGTACATGTGATGATAAAGATGACAATCACCTAGGAGCAAAATGGGAAAAGATTTCGAAATGTGTGTTTGTGTCTGGAATAGTAAATGGGCCAAAGAGAAAATGAAACAGTTTTTTCTTGCCACATATTTTTATTGAAGACATATATAAAACATTATTACATTCCGTAATATATTGCAATCAGAAATATCTAAACCAAAAGAGGGAATTCTTTAAAAATAATGTTTTTCTGAAATAAGTTTATAAATTCTCTGTTTTCTTAGTATCTTCCTTTCCCTTCACCTGATAAAACTTTTCTAGGAGAACCTGTTTATTCATTTAATAATGTTCTCTCCTCAAGTAATTCCGTGGGGCAGGAGATATGACTCAAAGTATATACTATTATATTAATTTATTAAATCTCATTTCCTGGGCTTCTGGGTTCATTTTCAAACCTTAACATAAATGCTATGTCATCTTTATCTCGTAGTTAAATCAGTACCCTAACTCTTAAGCAGGGGAAATCTTGCTTTATGCTTTCTATTTTGTTTGAGATGATGTTTTTAACATATGCCAATTTCAGAGGCATGGGTTATATATAAGTGGTATTGCAATCTTAGAATAATAGAGAAGTTTCTTTCCACTGATCATGTTGAGAGAAATAATGAAATTAATCTGGTCTCGTTTCTATGGGTGGTATGGAGGAAGGCATCACCAGAGGCGGAGTTTCTCTTTTCAAAGCACCTTTAAATCTTTGCATATTGATAGACAGATCACAGATTAAAAATTTGCTTACCCTTCTCTGAAGTGTTTTTGCCTTCTTTAAAAATTTTAATCTACTGGTTAAATCACTTACTACTATTTTATTTTTCATTTTCCAAATCTCTTAGTATTTTCAGTTTTGATCCCATTAGCACCTTACATTTCGTTATTCACCAATTGTTTCATAATTCTTAGAATCATTAGCCTAACGGAATCCAAACTTCAAGAAATATCCTCATCAAGATTTGCCTCAGGACTGAGTGCATATAAGACATTACATGGCTGGTTGTTGACTGAGTGTTAAAATGACCATGGCACCACTGCTCCTTGGCTACCTATGGATTTCATCCAATTGTAATGAAATGTAGCAGAATCTTGGTTGTGAATAACCAAAGTAAGGAATGGCTGTAACCACTGATGATACATATAATTTGGAAAAGACTACAAGACATGTAAATAACCTTCTGGCATTGTGATATTTTAACCATTCTGCACTTAAACTTCACAAAACCTATTTTCTTTTCTTGAGAGATACTTTTTATTCCAATTAGGAAATAGTGAAGACCTTGCAACAGATCAAACTGGATCTTCTTCATGTCTGACGAAATTCTAGTATTCAAAAGCATGGTGGCCAGGGTACCTGAGTGATGGGTTCAAGGTTTTGTACCACAACTAGCTGGTTGTGGTCATTTAACCTCTCTAGTTAGATTCCTCTTCTATAAAATGAGAGAATTGGGCAAGAGATTGTGAGATGCCACAAATTTTATAATACTTTTACTTACAAGAAAACAAAATTAAGCAAGAAGCACCACAATTATTTCCTTCCAAAAGGAATAAGCCCTGAAAATAAGTTTATTTCATTTATATGACTTACTAGTCCCGTTATACTTACTACTATATAGTTTACATATTTTACAGAATTAAATAAAACTACCTTGTACAATCTCTTTTTCTCAAGCCAACATTATGCCTACTAAAAATAAGTAATCTGTGCATGTGTTTCCATTTTACTCATTCAACATAAGAAGTAGTGTTAAAAAGAGAAACACAACTTGGTAATGGAATTGAGTATTTTGTTAATTATTCTTGATTGGAACTCTAAGCCATACCCCCAGAGTTTTAAGTCTATAAATGAATTACAAGCTGTATGAAGACAGGAACCAAGCCAGTCTCCTTCATCTGTATACTCACAGAAGCAAGACCAGCACTCAACATGTAGTAGCTTCTAAGTAAATATTGTTGAATATATGCAGAAGTAAAGAAGGGCTTTTAGAGAATGTCTGGTTGCCAAAGGAAAGGTCTATGATCCTGGTCAGCGAAACTGATTAAAATATATTTCATATGGTTTTCTGACATAATTAACAAGAGTAGGGAAATTTTTTTCTCTAAGGGGGAGAATCTCTAATACTTTCCCTAAGAACTGTTCCTATTGTAATTTTGTCATAATTTTATTTTTTGCTATTCTAAATTAATCTACAGTTGATATAAATCAATAAAGTGCAATAACAATTCATCTATATTGATATGTATATATGCATTTCTATACATATGTATAATACTCCTTTCGATGAACCATTTTCAGTGACACATTCAGCTAGTAAACTCTTCCCCTGTATTATATTAAGCATGTCCTAATAATTGTGTATCTTGAGAAACCATTTGAAGAGGCAAATGCCTATAGCTCTCTATTGCTAGATGCTCTATCTTCTTTTTCAATTTCCCTTAAAAAATGTGCATTTCATTCACTGTTTCAATCAAAAATTTTTAATAAAAGTACTTCTTTAAAGATAAATATGGCTGGTGGATACAGATAAGGCTTCTTTTGCATTCCTCCAAGACCAAGGGTATCTTGGTTTACATGACCAGTTCTAAAGGCCCAAAGACTTCCAAGAGTCACCTTATGAGTTATGTGCTATTATTAGACAGTATCAAAGAATGTAACACATTTTCTTTAAGTTTTTTGACAAACTATATAAAATCAGAAAAAATTTGATAAGGCTAAAGTCCTTAGCCATATTTATCCCCCCAAAAGATATGACCAAAGAGTGGCATTGAATTTAGAATATTCAAATGTTTGCTGATTGTTAAAATGTTAAATATAGTGTATTATCCACCACTGATGGCTATGTTGGTGATTATAAGGTACAAGGTCTCCCTAGAGAAGAATACTGACCATAAAGCACTTATTGTTGGGAGTAATGTACGTTACTGTACCGTGTTACTCTGTGCCGCGATGTCATTGGGGATGTGGAACCAATGGTTTGGCTTATGTGAATGTCTGGACTCACCATTTGCATCATTTGAATTTCTGGCCCTACCAAAATACTGCCACTCATCACGGGTCCCACACAACCATCAGTCATGCTACTGCTGCTCGTGTCAGGCAGACCAGGACTAGACAGCACCCTCTCAGCATAGATTACATTGTGTGTGCTGGCTAACTCAGCAGGTACACAGATATTCCCCTGAACGTCGTAGACAGGTGCCATTACTGTTTCTGTTACTACAACATTGGGTGCAAGCTGAGGATCAAAAACAATTGTCGTGGGCTGCACGCATGGGTCCGCAGTCGTGTAAGTCTCAGTCACTACAATATCCCCGTGAATCATGGGTTCAGGTGTTGCCATTTCTGCCTGGAATTCAGCCTGTGACAGAGTCATTCCTGAAGATTCATTAACAAAGTAATTAGGTCCAAGTAAAGGGAGGTCAGTACTGATGGGTATACAGGCTTGCTGTGAAGGAAATGGTTCAATTTCTTTGTCTAAGCAGATTTCAGCAAGAGTCCTAAATTTTGGATCTAAAGTTTCCATGCAGCTTTCGTCTAAATCATCCACAATCCAACTGCAGCAACCAATGGAGCCCACAGGAGACCCTAGTCCCTCGTGGTCATAAATGAGCAAACAGTCGTTTGCTGGCTGGCCTTCATCTTCATATGCATAATCGTATGCTTTCTAAAATTAGAAGAAAAATAGGAAATTAGAAGTTTCTTTTCCCTTAAAATACTCAAAGAAGAATAACAATGCTTTAGAGACGTCTGATCTGAAAAGATTTTGTGGAATGCACTGAAAAAAACCACTGATTCGTTGCTGTATTTCCAAATAGTTACAATTTTTAAAGGCGATCAATGTGTATTTGGTTTATAGTCTTTTATTTCGGAGGTGGTTTAAAAATAATAAAATGTATTTAGTTATGTGCAAAACATTATTTAAGGAGAGAGATTTGATCAACTCAGAATGCAAGCATGTGGAAAGGTGTGTGCAGCTCTAAGCTTCAGAGACTTATGGGGGAATATTAACTGAAGTTTTCTGTGGCTTGATGAAGAGAGCTGGGATGTCTCTGGAGTTAGGTTACCAGGAGGAAGGCACTAAAGTGTTATCTACTGTGATTTTTCAAATTATTTTTAATGACAGCCCCTTTACATAAAATTAGGTCCAACCCCAACATGTAGAACCAATGAAATTGGAACTTCTCTGTTTGAAGGGGCCGGGTGGAGCAGAGACCTGCCAGCTCTCTTCCCCATTTCTCTCACCTGCTATGGCCCTTACTGAGTGCCATGAATTCCCATAGGACTTGCCCAGCGCCATCTGAAATCGCCTGATATAATCTGACCCCTTCTTTCTTTTATAAATAACGTAACCAAAGGCCCAGAGTAGGGGAATGGCATGCCCAAGACTTAAATCCTTATAGAACAGAACTTCAAATCCAACTGTCTTTTCTACACCGGATCATGCTGCTTTCCTTCTGGTCTGTACCAGTCTAAATCCTACCATTAGAATGACTTTAGGTCTTGAAATTAATCATTCATAAGTTTGGTATCACCTTAAAACTTTGCTGTTTAATATTTTACATGACATCTCAGTAAGGACAGCCCCCTTTTGCCTGGGGCACAAGTTAACGGCTGGGGTGGGGGGTGTAAAAAAGGGACAGGAAGAAAGCCCTGGTACCATTCTGCAGAGGCTTCACCTGGCAGAGGGAGTGGCTGCGTCTCACACCTCTGAAATCCAGTGCCATTTTTAAGTGTAGAGCTAAAATGTTTGGGATGCCCATAGAGAAAGGGGAGTGCCCTTTGATTTTATTTTTTCCATAAAGCACCGATTGTAACCCAATGAAAAAATGCCCAGTGCAATTTTGATATTAATGGTAAAGTTCCTTTAATGTTAGTGTGATTTTTATGAATAATTCACGAAATATAATTTCTGTGGCATTTCTGTGCCTCATTGTCAAATGTACTTAGTGGCATCATTCACTCATTTAAATAATCGATTCTATTCATGCACAGTCTATGATGGTATCTGTGACCCCCACTTTTAAGATATAACTTACAATTACAACATCATCTTTAGCATTTTTTGTCAAGAGCAGTAGTGAAACTCATATGTTATCAGGTAGGGAGTAAAATAGGCTAACTGGAATATGAGATAAAATGGACTGCTGGTTAAGTGAAATAAAGATACAAATAGGGATTCACCAGAGGAAATCCTCTGTTTATCCTTTGTGCTACCCTGTTAGGCCAACGCAGTGCCTTGGGTCTTTTCTCTTGGAATGCTCATAGACCCATGATCCCTTCCCTTAGTAAGGGACACAGTGCATGACGCACTCCATAGAGATTAGGAGACCCGGGCTGTAGGCTCTGATCTATCACCAAGTCATAGTGATGCCCGGTTCCTGAGTTACCGCTCTCTTACTTCCCCAATCCTGGCCTTTGATTTATTTTGTCTCCATTCTGTTGGAGGCACCTGCAGAGCAGGAAGAACACCATATAGAATGGTCATGAATACACATTTTTTTTCCTTACTCAGGATCCTCCTGCTTCACTGTTGCCATGGGAAACAAAGTGAAAACACCAGAAGGAAACAGAAGACAGGAAAATGGAAAGAGGGAAGCGGAGAATGGTGAGATGTGTTATTTTTCACAGTAGTAAGATGCGTTCTGCAGACTATATGTGAAATATTTTGGCAAATCGGCTTTTTGTATTTTAAGGAGAAGTGCACTATATTTTATTCAGGATTCGGTTAGAGTTAAGAAGAATGGAATAAGGGGGGAGGGTATAGCTCAAGCAGTAGAGTGCATGCTTAGCATGCACGAGGTCCTGGGTTCAATCCCCAGTACCTCCTCTAAAAATAAATCTAATTACCTTCTAGCAAAAAAAAAAAAAAAAATTAAAAAAATATGTATCTTTCAGAAGAATCTACTGCCATAGTTCTTATTATTCAGTCTCAAGACTATTCTGTGCAACCGCGCGTAGGGGAGTCACCTCGGAGAAATAGCTGTCCAGGAAAGCCAGGTGCAGGCCGGGGTCCGCGTAGTCCCGCTGGGCTCCCGGCGTAGAACTCCTCCTCCTCGCTGTGCCCACGGCCCCTCCGGCCACCAGGCCAGCGGCTGCTCCGGGACCCGTGTTCAGTTCCACGCCCGATACGCCCCCTTCCACCGTTCCTCCGCCCGCGTACGTGTTCGTGTAGATTTCTGAAAGGAGAGGGTGTTCGTATCACAGTGCTGGAGTCGCCTGCATCGTTCATCCACGTAAACGCTGCCAGGCACTGTCTGCCGGCACCACCGCCGCCGCAGCCACACAACCTAGAGGCGGTACTGGGACGCTAGGAGAGAGCAATTCCAACTGTACTGCCAATCCCCCAGGTTGCTGATAAAGTACATGGAAGGAAGTGGTACAGAGGGAGCCAGCTCTCCCACTGGGCTTTCTCACGTTTGCACAAACCTCCCCCCATAGTCTGCCAGGTGTAGAGCTAGCCCAGAGGAGCGGGTCGCAGTGCCTGCACCAGTTCCTTCCACGACCGCTTCTGGCAACCGCCCCCACCCCCTCAGAGCCGCTCGCGGGCCTGTGGCCTGTCCGAGGGCTTGTGCCCACTCGGAAACCCTCCAGAGCAAGGCCAGACATACAACTGCAGAAACTGAAACTCATGGTCCGCATTCACCCTGGCCTGGATGGAGAGAGCTGGTTTTTACCTTACTTTGCATCCAGAGTCCAGCTGGGATCCTAAGGAACCGTCAGTGAGAAATTCTCTGCTAGAACTGTGCACCTCTCTGGTTCAGTTATTGCCCAATGCTGGGAGTTACCCGTCAGTGAGAAATCTCTTCCTGCTAGAACTGGGCAGCCTCTGCTTGGTTCAATCATTGCCCAGTGCTGGGTCTTTTTTAGTGTTCTAAGGTGTGCGTGGGACTTGGTAAATTCGGAGAGTGTAAGACTGAAGATGCATGTATGAATTTAAGAGAAGTTCTTCAGTGTATTACTAGGAGAACATATTTGCTGCTCTTTCTTTTTTTTTTTTTTTGAACAGCTTGTGTTATAAATAATGGTAGCACTTATTCTGTGCAAGGCACTATTCTAATGTACATTTTGTGATATACATATGGCACATATACATATATATATGATATATATAACATATAATACATATTATATATCATACATAATGTGTGTGTATATTTATACACATATATACTCATTTACTCCTCATAGCAACACTTTGAAGTAGGTACTATCGTAAAGTCAGTTTCAAAGATAAGGAAATTGAGGTCCAGAGAGATTAAGTGTCTTGCTCTAGGACTTAATACTAGTAAGTGGCAGAGCTGGGAATCAAACTCAAGTATTCTGGTTCCAGAGTTTGCGATTTTAATTGCTACATCAGACTTCACTGCTGGTAGTTTAAGATAGAAAAATAAAGTCTCCACTTTAGACATCTAACTTTCCCTCCAATTATACTATCATCCAAGGAGATTGACAGATATGTTGTTCTTTTAATAAGGTACTTATACATAGGATTTGTCTGGTTGAATAATTTTGCAAATTTTAAGAAGGAAAACAGATTTTGGTGTCCACTGACCAGAGGAGTCTATACGTTCCTGGGTATTAGAAGCTGTGACTGGTACACATATATTTGACACATCCTGAAAAGAAAAAAAAAAGAATTTTAAAATAAATGGTTTATGTTAAACATTTTATAATGGACATATTTTCATTTTTGTGCAGTGTATAGTTGTCAGACGTGCTCAATCCCATTGAAACCCCATGCTCCTCCAGAACACGAGAGTCCACTCACCCTGTCCTCGGGATGGGCCCCTTCTATTCTCCAGGCCTGCATCACTCCATCTCCACCCTCTGGCACAGGGGCAAACCTTGTCCCCAGCCCTTCTGGCTGTTTGCTTTTGCAACAACACATGAGCAGCAAGAGTGGTGTCACTGCCAAAGAAAGTGGAAAGGAAGAGTTAACACATATTGCTCAGTTTGGGAAGTCACTGAATGTAGCATTTTTGAGAAAATGTGGCATTATACTTAATAGAACCAGAGGAATAAATACAAATGTAAGAAACGATCAGTTTTTCCCCTAAAGGATTGAGTATACATATCCATGTTTATAAATACAAAACCACCAAGTCACACAGACCTTTAGAGCTGGAAAGGAGGGAGTTTGAGATGATGTCCTCTGGGTTCTTCACTGACAGATTAGGAAAGCAGCGTCCTTTATTACCACTAGTCCGACTCCAAACTGGCTGGTGGCCGATTCAAATCCAATTTTATGATTCCTAGTCTTCCATGTACATGCATATGCATTTATATATGTGTATGTATTCATGTATAATTGTCTGTGTATGTGTACGTACTTATATGCCTATGTGTACGTATGTGTGTATACATACGGATAAATATGTACTTTTCTCCATGAGTGTGCGTATATACGTGGGTACCTGGATATGTATATGTGGACACATAGACCATCTCTGTGGATACATATATGCACTTACATACCCATATGGAAACCAATGTATGTACACACGTGTAACCATCTTCACACATATAAATTAAACACATAATCACTATACGTTAGCAAAAGGATTGGATACAAGTTTCAGTTATAGGACCTAGAAATAGGACTCTTCTTCAACTCTTATGATACTTACACTTAAAATCAATCAACTCAATCTCATTCACTACATTTAATTGAACTTCTTACAGTTATTATTCTAAGACTTTGTCTGCAAAATACAATGGAAATTCACCTCAGTTCTACACTTTAGATCATACACACAGACACTTCCTAAGTTTTCTAAGATTCTAGAATACCCTCAGTTTAGTTCTTTGGGTCCACTCTAGTTGCTTTTTATTTTTCTAATTCCCTAGCATCGTATGCATTCCACTGGATAAGTTAATTAGAGCTGCAGAAGAAGGTATCAAAGCCGCTAAATCAAGGCATTTTAAAATTTCATGAACAGTTAATCTTACTGGGAGCAAACATCAAAAGCCTTAACCAGAGGCCCTTTGGGAATATAAAATTTGAGCTAGGGCCCTCCCTCTCCGTAATAGATCTGGGCTTCTCCATGAGAACTTTGTCCAAAGGGACATTCCCCTCCTAGTTTGCAATCAGTTTCATAACTTTTATGCTTTGTTGGCCTGGTTCAGGAGAAGTCATTGAGTGCTAGCCTACTGGAAATGCAGCTGAGTCTGGGTGTTTATCCCTGACCTGCACGCTAGCTTCACAAGAAGGCCTAAACATGCTGAAACCTGGGTCTCATCTTGAGTCCTCCTGCTGGGGCTGAGTAACTTATAATGACCTTCAAGTGATCCTGACGTACAGCTAGGCGTGTGAACCACGGGCTTAAGGTAAACTGACACCTCTTCTCGCTTGCTGTAACCATGTTGTGGGAAACTCTCTCATACCATCATGATAATCACTCATGATCTTTGTATGGTGTTGAAAACGCAAATCATTTTAAGAAAGTCAGTTGCCATTTTTTCATGCCTCAAAATGATAGTGTTTAACTTTCTACTTATTCATTGAAGCACATTCATATTACAGTTTGAAGGATTTAGTTATATTTAACTTTAAATCCATTTTTTGATTTCCACAAAAATCTAAGTATTGCAAGGACAACCTAAAATGCATTTCTCTTATGATGATGCACATGTTTTAAAAAAATGGTACGGGGAGAGGAGCACCCTTTTTGAAATGTTTGCTTAGGGACTTCACCATTCCTTTGATTATTATTTTAGAGTTTATTTGTATGATTATTTGTAATTTATATTATTGTGATTATGATTGCCTTTGATTTTCCTCTGATTCCTTTGCTGAAATTTTCATCACAGGATTGTATTATACCCTCTGCTTGTATTATACTTAGGGATTTGGGTGTATTTCCACTCTTTATGACCCTCACTAACCCTAGACTTTCTTAGTTATCATTATTGAAAAAGTACATGCCCTTATCAGTCCCATTGCTTATTTCCAAATTTCCGCAAAATTTGCTATGGTTATCAAAAAGAAATGGCCAGATGATCATAGTCATTGCAGTGAACCTGGTTACATTCTTATTTTGAGGAACTGCCGAAAAGAAGGATTTAATCCAGTACTTACGAAGCAGTAGTAAGATACCCAGAATGATCATGCCAATCCCTGTAGGTCCGAGACCAACATTTGAACCCTCAACGTGGTCGTCAGTGACAGACACACCGGTAACGGAGCTGCTGTCCCCGGTGCTGATGCCCGTGGTACCCGCGTACAAGCACATGTGGTTGCTGTCACAATCGCAGGCCAGTAACTGCAGAATCTGTGGCAATTCGCATGCTCGGTTGAAATTGTCCTTCACCAGGATTGGGATTTCGTAATATGAGGGATATAAAGTCTGCTCAGCTGTCAGGATTGCGGAGGTAGCTGAGAGGAAGAGAGGGAAGAGAAAATAATGACAATTTCTTGGGGGTAACCCTCCCTAATACCCAAGACTAACTTAGGGCCTGATTTTTTTTTCATGCTCCTTAAATCTTAGAGCACCTGTACTTAAAAAAAAATTAACACATAATTAATTTTTCAGTACTTTTTCTTGCTAGATTCTTATTTCTACAAAGCAGACTGGGATCTGATACTTATTTCCAGAGCAACAATACTTGGCATATAGTATGCACTCAATAAATGTTTGTCCAATGAATGAAGAGTATTGAGCTGAAAGGAAATATTGAAAGTCTTCTATTTAGGATTACAGTTTACAAATACCCTTCTTAACACTGCAGTTTATCTCTTTTTCATAATTTTTGCTGCCCTATCATTTAAAATTATTCCAATAACTGTTATTTTCCCAATTATTTGCGCTACCATTGCCTGTTGGTTTTTATAGAAACTATTGCTTAAAACATAGGTTGAAATTTATTTATTGACCTGAGAAGGGTTTAGAGATGATTTGCACCTAAATCATGAATAGTAATTGATTGATCCAGAAGACTCAATTATTATTATTATTATTATGAGTTATTACTTTCCATTAGCTCTATGACCAGCCAGCTATGTCTACCAAAATGTAACCTGTGCACAAAATAAGAGTTGAATAAGGCAAAGCCATAGCCTGTTAGGTGGAACTTTATTCCTTTTTTCACCACCAATGTTGAAACAGGACCCTAAGAATATTCTTTCCAATGTGATTATATTTTTTACTGGCAAATCTATAATATCACTTGAATACCTTTATGAATCTTGATGTTGAACATTTTTTCTTATATTTTTATAAGAAAAAATATAATGATACCTAGGATCTGAATGAGGAAAAGGTGGTTAGCAAGTATTTAAGAATAGCATATAGGGATTTGTAGGGAAAGGTGAATTCAGAGTTGTCTTGATTTTAGTGGAATTCCTTCCATGTGCTTAGCTTTTCAAAATATTAAAGTGGTTTTGTGGAAATGAGCTAAAAGGTTTTGTGGTGAGAACAGGTCGCCTAATTTCCTCCTTTGACTAAGTCTTTCATGGTGGAATTTTTTTTCTGGCATTATTTTAGGATGAATCAAGCTTGGTGGCCTCAGAGAGGTGGGTTTTCCCTCTCACTTTGGGCTCTGTAGCCTGCCCTCCACATCCTACCACCCCCTCCCCGAAGTTTTTCCTGTTTCCTCAAATGAATAAGAGATTAGGGAGCTACTGTAGCCCAAACTAGGTTCTCTGATAACATTTCATTTTCTGTTATACATTTGACATCTCAGGAAAAAGAACCCAAAATATATAAAGTGTTGTATTACCTGAGACTTAGTCTCAATTTTTTTTTTTATCAATATCAGGCCTTCATTTTAAAGTAGCAGCAGTTAGCACAAACACACACACTACTATGGGATCTTTACATTCTTCATGGAAATAGAGATGGAAAGCATCATTACTACAGGACTTGACTAATTATTTGGTAATTGTTTTTACTTTTGGCCTTAAAGTATGAGCAACTGTGCACTCCACTTACCATTTATTGATCTGATGTCCCAGCTGTCAGCTGTCCCTGGGGGTTGATCCACAACACAGAAAGTAAAGGGAGACCCGTAAGGATGATCGTCCATGCCTGTTGCAGAGATAAGGATGGATGGAGAGGCAATGCAGATGGTTTCCCTTTCTGCAACAATGACCGGACAGTAATCGTTGACATCAGGTACTTCGATACATACGGTCCCCGTGGCCGTTTTCCCAGAGCCATCTGAAACAGCAGAACATACCAGGTGTTGGGGTAAATGGTGTCAGGGAGAAACCTCTTTCATATATCCCATGATGATGCCACAGCATGGAGGAAGAGTCTGAATGACTCCTGAGATGGTGCACAGTGCGTTCTGCCTACTTCAGTCTCCTGAGGCCACTCTTGTCTTTTCATTACCTTCCGGCCCCACTGGCTTCTTTTCAGTTCTTTGAACAAGTTCTTTCTTAACCAGAACTCTTGCACATTCTGTTCAGTCTTCCTAAAATGTTTTTCATCCCTGTTTTCATTCTGGTAACTCCTACACGCCTCAGGACGCAAAGTTATATGTCCTTCCTCGGAGAAAGTTTGCTCCTTTCTCTTCCCACTCTGTCCCCTCAAATGAGACCCCTCTAGTCCAGCTTAGAGCCTTCCATTCTAAACACTTATTGGGTCCTGTGTTTGTGGAAATAACTGCAATTGAAATTAAATAATTGTTTGTGTATTTTTTTCATGCTGTCTTGCTGTTTAATTCCATCCATTTAATGCTATTTCTCCCTGAAATGACACTTCTGAAAACAAATACAGATCTATTTGATTTTTTTCACTAAACCATTTGAAACACATCTTGGGTTAGTATATTTTATTTAAAGAGGCAGAGGACCAAGAAATAAGAGTCTGGGCTTTTAGCCCACTTTGCGACTTTATGTTAAATAATTATTTTGTTTTTAACTTGCAAAGAGACTTCGCTTGCAAATGAGTTTTCTCATTTGTAAACTAGAAAGTTATTATCTCTAGGTATTTTGCTAGGTCATTTTTTGAGAAGCTAATAACTGTCTTTTAATGATGTTTTCTGTGTGCCTAAGTGGGAGAGTCATTAAGTGAATTGAATGGTAACAAACCAGGAGCCTACTCCTATCATACATGGTTTTGTGCAATACGTTCTAATACCTGACTTGGCATTGGACTTTCTGGACTTGGTCTCATTAGAAAGACACCAGATTATCCCATGGATTGTGTTCTGTGTTATTCTCTGGAACTCTCTTATGGCCTGGTGATGTGACAAGCCCTCAGCTCAAGGTATTGTTGACAGCATCTGCCCCCCACCTCCCCCGCCGATTGCGTTTGCCTCTTCACCTGGTGGCCCAGCCTCCTTGAGCAAACTTATCTGAACCATCTGGATGGCTTATGCCTGTGCAGATCCTCTGCTTAGGTGCATAAACAATGGCCCTTGTTTTTAGGTTTCTGTGGATACATTTTGATTATTGTTTCCTCTTTATTTACTTGAAATGACTGATTTTTTATTCTAGTGTTTGGAGATTTTCACATATGACCCATGCACAAACATAGACTGTGATCAGTCTGGCTAGAATTCACTGTAGGAACAGGCCTTCTGGAATACTGATAATAAATAAGACTGTAATATTTACATAACTGACCCAGATGTTGAAAGTGACACTCACAGGATGAAGACCAGAATGTGTGGCTGTAATTGCTTGGGTATTTTCATGGTTTCTTTTTCAGTCCTGTACGCCCATTTATCTTTTTCTTCGTTTGGCTATTATAAAGCTCGGATGTAAACTTAATGCAAACCCACAATATGTATCTTCCATTAGGTATGTATCTGGGACATCTATTTTTCCCCTTCCTTCCTGGTTACTGATCTTTCTCTGTTGTTTTGGTTTGTAGTAGCTTGTTTGCTAGTCACAGCTCCAGAGAATCATCATCTATTGCTAAATTTTTTTTTAACAATTTCACATTCTTATTTTTATTTTATTTTTTTAAGGGGGGATGGTAATTAAGTATGTATGTATATGTATGTATGTATGTATGTATGTATTTATTTATTTATAACGGAGGTACTGGGGATTGAACCCAGGACCCTGTGCATGCGAGGCATGCACTCTACCACTGAGCTATACCCTCCCCTTCTATTGCTAAATTAATATTGCTACTTGCTAAGAGGAATGCTTAATAGATTTTCCCACATGAGCAATAGCTCAGTTATAAGTTAATTCAATGCCTTTGCACTTACAGCTTTCAATCTGGGGCTTATATTTGGAATAACCTTGTGCTTTCTTCATCTTTAACATCTTACTTTGGACAACACTCACACAGGCCTCTCTTTGTAGCTCAGCTTTAGTGGCTCTAAAAAATGATACTGTTTGTGATACTGCCTTTCCCACAGGTCACACCTAAGTGAATTTTGTGTACACCTCATAGCACTGTAAGTAAACATTTCTAACATACTCTGCAAGTTGATCAACCATCTCAAGAGATGAGGTCATAACTAGAAACCGAATTTTATGTATATATTTTAACTTCCATGCTTCACATTGTAAGTCACATACCATTCTTTTTTGGAAGTAGGTGAAATAAATTATGACTTAAATATAAATTATGATTATAAGGATAATGAAGTCAGTTCTTGACCTAAGGTTTTGAGAACCCTCTATAAGTCTTACACCAACAAATCATGTTTTATTTGAGTTGATTTAATATCAACATTAGAATAATATTTGTATTTAATGTAATACTAGTAATTTTATTAAAATATTGAAAATGAATTTTCTTACCATCTATAGCCAGGATCTCTGCTGTGTATATCCTATTGGTAATATATTTTGACTTCCTGTCAAATTCCCTAGAAAATTGTATCTCACCAGTCCTTGAATCCACTTTTAACCAGTTGCCTGCATCATGTCCTATGATATACCTGTTTTAAAATAAATACATTCATCATTTGCTTATATGAAAGTTAATCATTTTAAGCCACACGACATGTTAAACTTACATACAGTGCTTGCATAATTCATAGTGATAACTGACTTTGTTTATAAAATGTATAGACAATATAATTTCAGGGTTGAACATATTAATGCACAGATTCACAACAGAATTTTACCATTTCGTAATTCTTACTCTGCTGTCTCTTAATATAATTGTAGTATAATATAAATAAACTCATACATCATAACTCATATGAGTTTATTTTAGATCTGTTCATGAAATCACAGCACTGTGTGTTAAGGGAATATGCTTTATTCATTTTCACATGTGGTATGCTTTGTTTTTCCTAGATTTTAAGGCATATTGGTTGCAGAGCACCTCATTGTTGGCCTGTTAGGGGTTGTGGTACCATCTAGTCAGCTTGTATATATGGGTTTTAGTTAATATAATGGATTCAAAGTCCTTGGCCTTATCGGAAGAAGATCTGGTCTCTGACCCAGGCACAAATTCAAATGTCCAAGGCACTCATCTGATAGATCCTTTTCTCTGATAGACTTCATAATTCTTGTTGTCTGTCAATTTATTAGCTATTAAGCTCTCAAAACTATTCACATCAAAAGTAATTTAAAAGTTAGTAGACTTTGTTCACTTCAAAAATACTGGGAGGAAGAAAAGAGAGACAAGGAAATGACATAAAGGACACTTATTTCACTACAGTTATTTTTCAGAATATCTTACATAGATATAATTCTATTTTTCCAATTCTGATTCTCTTTATGCACATCAAATTTCTGAAACACCTGTGTTTCAGCTTCTTTTTTTGGTCATCTTAGGTCAAGCAAGGGATTGAAATTAGCCCCAAAGTCATTAGATAAAAGGTTTTAAGGAAAAAAAGCATTGACTCATCTTTTATGATGTCTTAGCATTTATAATGTGGCTTAATCATCCCGCATTCAGGGTGGTACAGCTGGGCACAAAAGATCAAAGAACCTCACAGAGCAACTGTAGGTGGCTCTTTGATCTTACATTTGCTCCCCGGACACAATTACCCTTTTAACTAGTTGGAGCCCTCATTGCTTCTAAAACACTACTAAAATTCTGAAAAAAATGTTAATGCCACAATAGTCTTCTAAAACAAACAAACACGAAAAGCAAAGCAGAACCCCCGAAGTATTTTAACCCACGGACACTAGCACGTACTACGTGAATCAACACAGGACAGAACCGTGCTTTATCACATTAACATGAGTAAGATGTTGGCAGTACCTGACATTTGTTGCAGGACTTCCTGTATCCAAATCGATAGCCGTGTATGTGCCAAGCACATAATTCGATAAGGAATTTCCTCTTAGTCCTTCTCGCACACTGAAGGTCATAGAATCTGGATGAAATGCAGGTCCTTCTCTCACATTAACAACCTGAATCCTCACGGGGGTTGAGTGCATTTGGAATTGAGAGGCGACTGAGTGGTGAAAGTCAGCTTGGTTTTTAACCCCAATGCTAAGGTAAATATTAGGCATTTGTTCATAATCCAGCATCTGAAATGACAGAAAGTAAAAAATTCAGAAATAGCAAAAGGAGTCTCTTGATATAATAAGAAGCATGATAAAAAAGCAGCACACTAGAATAAAGTCCAGGAACCATGCAGCTCAGATCTTAAATTGATAAGATTTTATTTATTATTGCGTTAGCTATTTCAGACATGTTATTTCCTTTATGTTTTGGCATAATCAGGTACATGCGTCATTTCAGCCTGTGACTAAACTGGACTCCAATATTGGAGTTTTGAACATCTTACATAAAAACCTTGGAATGGAAGGTGATTTTTCTTTCCAAATGAAGTGTTTATGAAAAATAAAAAGTAAGCTTGGAATGAAATTAAAATGTTCACAACTATTGAATGAATAAACAGTATCCAGGTTTTCCTTTGTAGAATTCATATCTGAGAATATCTTGGAAGTACAGTCAGAGAGTACATTAGTCAATATATATGATGTAATTGAACATGTAATTTAAAAAAATGGTGCAAACAACTTCTAAAGGAGAATCCATGACCATTGTAGTCAGCCCTAAACTGTAATTTGATTGAGCTGGATCTGGTGGACAAGAAGACTTCTTCATAGGGGACATTCAAATAAATGCCTTGCCCAGAGAAAAGTCACCTTTGAGACGGGCCCTTTTGAATAAGAGATGAATAGAGTCTTTTGATCCAGAATGATTGATGTGGTGACATGAAAAGTCACCACCAATGATTCAGCACAGAGCTGAACATGAACTGTGAACTCAGAAATGGATTTTCAATGGAAGAGATCCCTTTTCTACAAGTGAAAAAGCACTTGTGAAAAAAGAGTACTGGCACCACTGAAAAGTGCTCTGGAAGCTAACGTAAGCATCACTTGCAACACATTTACCAACAGTAGAAGTTAATAAATCATTAATTAGAATTATTGTAAAAATAGAGAACCAATATTTCTTTGCTAGAATCCCAACTGGGTAGCATTTTGCTTTTCTTCTCAATGTTGAAGTGAATGTGTACATACACACCTGCCCTCTCCCCCATGAGCTTATATTGTTTGTTAGTAATCCATATATATTTATTGATAAATACCAAAATAAAGTTATTATTGACAAAGAGATTTTTCTACTTTCCTAGAGATTTTCTCTTGTTAAACTACAGTGCAAGGGCTGATTGTAGGGAGGGGCAGAACTTCTGGGGTTCCATACAGAAGAAACAGGTTAATTATGGGCAACACTGGGGAGCTGGTGGGGAAAAGGAGAAAGTTTGCTAACCTAAGGATACCACAACCCCGAAAGAAGCAATGCTTCTAGAACAAAGGTAAAATCACTAGGATGGATCCATTAGCTTTTCTGTTCATTCTTGTAAGTGGGATGGTATCTGGAGAAGAAGGACCATGTCTCAGTTAACCTTCGTATCCCTGCACCTTTCGTTTCTCAAATTTGAGTTGAATTGAATCATTTGTAATGTCCACAGACTAAGAAAAGGCTTACAGAAATCTTAGTCAAAAGCCTGTGACTTAGGGGTCAGTTTCCACAAGGTTAAGTGGTAGCTTGAGTGAAAATGGTCCAAGGGGACATTAACGACCTCACTCCAAATGCTAAATCCTGGGACAATTACACATGTATTTTCTAAATACATAGTTCTTTTGGCTATGTGCTAGCACACATACTAAGGTTTTAAATTTCTTTTTAATTAGCCTTTCCACATTATTTTGATGTTTGTAAGCATTTTTTTTTTCTGCTCTCTTTAAACGACTTGGGAAGTTATCATCCAGGAAAAAAAGATACTTTATCTGCACAACATCTAATACTTGACCAAGTTTTCATGAAATTGAATTTCCAGTAATTTTGGGGGGGCAATAAAGTAAGTATATCTTTAAAAGACTTTCAGCTCTCACAGAGGACACATTATATAAGTCATAGCTAGTGCAGTGCCTGAGTTATGAACATTTCTTTTTCATTTTTATAATTTGTAGAAATGATGAAGTCTGCAGTCAAGCTCAGTGACTCCCATTTGGGTGAGAGCTGCAGTGTCAGTCAATGTCATTATCAACACCATCCTCAAAGTTTTGTGAGTCTCTACTAATCTTATGGACTCGGGGCCAAGGGCTAGGGGTGGAAAACAGAGTTAGGTCAAGTTGTTTATGCCCAGATATTTTTTTTTTTTTGCTATTATTCTAGTAGGTTATAAGGTAGATTAATAGCAAAGGATAGTTACATATTACAAGATAATATACAAAGTCAGTGATGAAGTTGGTAAGAAGATAGGTCAGAATTTCATGACCTGTCTAGATCTTGATTTTTAAACAAGATGTGAGGTTGAACAAATTCTGATCTCTGGGAAAAAAACTCGACTAACTAATTTAATAAGGTGGTAGGTGACACCTTGTCTCTCTTTTCCTATCCATGTTACATTTGGCTCTTAATCCAATTCCCTCATTTTCATTTTGACTGCTGTTGCCTTAGATCAGGTCCCTAGCCCCTCAGGACTTAATATAATGATTGTTTTCTTTACCTTAATCTTTCTGGAGTTGAGCTCACAATGTTACTACTATTTAAAAATACATCCCAAAGCTTTTCTTGGTCTGTAAGTAGGGGTTGCTGAATTTTTTTGGTTAAGAGCAGAGAGTATAACATTTTAGGCTTTGGAGGTCATATACAGAATGTGGAAACAGCCATAGGAAATACATTCAAATGAATGAGTGTGGCCGTGTTCCAATAAAACTTTATTTGCAAAAAGGTGGCAGGTCAGATTTGGCCTGTGAGGCATAGTTTGCTGATTTCTGGCCCAGAGCAGTATTTCTCGAACAGGAAGGTCATCGCACGTTCTTAAAAGAGTCCTTGTATTCTCTCAAGGAATTTTGAAATTTTGAGTGTTCATTTGAATGACAGTTTTAAAAAGTATACATAGATATTTTCCATAACTTTGGCGACCACCTCGTAGGTGAATAGAATACACTGCGTGATTTCAGTGCTGGTGGTTGTGTCTTGAGGTAAAGTAGTAATGCTTTATTTGCGCCAAACAATTGCAAAAAGAGCAGAGAAAAACTCAATATTTATATGATATGTTTGCATTAGATGAAGGCTAAATGGCTTCTAATTTACTGTGTGAAAAGAAGTTTCACAGTCACTGGAATAGAGAAAAGTGGTAACAGAATTAATAATTCACAGTTCACACTATCTGCTAAACTCAATGTGTGCGTGGGTTTGTTAGGATAGATTTTCAGAGCTATATGTTCTGTTTATGTTGTTAGTAGTAATTTTGTTTGAGAAAAATTGATTTCCCTTATTACGTTAATGCTAATTTGAATCTTACTGGTTTGCAGTTTTGTTTCTAATTTGTATTTTTAGATTTTATTGCTGTCCACAAAGTAAAAGCATGCAGTAGTTGAAGAAAAATTAATCTGTAGGAAAAAGTCAAAGCTTATAATCCAGTTTTCAAGATTCTCAGCAGACAGACCCCCACTCAGCATCTCTGTTCTTGCATCTCGTTGCTTCCCTCCGTGAATACTCCACTGCAGCCCCACGGAGCCGCTCACCATGCCCTGAACATGATTTTCATTTTCTCACCTCCGTGTGTTTGCTCATTTCACTACCCACATTAGCAATCCCAGTTAAAAGGTCTTGCTTAAACCTTATTCCAGGAATGAAGCCCTTTCAGACACACCTAGTTCAGAAGGATCTCACCTCAGTAATTATTTTGTATTTCACCCATTTGGCCATTAATTATGTTTAATATCATAACACCTATGCTACTATTTATTTTGTTTTTAACTCACGCTATTTTCTAGTTTGGGAGAACTTGCCTTGTCTTCTCAATTGGTTATTGGGCATTGTGAGAACAAAACAGCCTTCTTATTTCTCATGGTAATAAATACTGCATTGCTGGGCTGGGAGTCTCAGACTGACACAGTCTGAGCTCACCCAGGGCTCTTGTCCACATAAATACTATTCCAGGTTATGGAGTGTTTGTCGTAGGCACATTCTATCCCCGAGTATTTTAACCCTTCTTGGGAAGAAAATATTGCAGATCCCATACTGTACCTGGACGACTTTCAAAATCCCTTCATTGGTTCGTGGATCTGTTTCAATATCAAACCAATTCCCATCATTTCCAGAGAGAATTAAATATTTTGCCAACCAATTGTCAGTGCCTTCTTCATCCAGATCAATTGCTTGGAATCGTATCAGTTCCGAACTTAAACAATTCTCTTCAATACTTGCTGTGTACTGAAATGACATGGATCAATTTTATTATCAATGAACTTTCAAGAGGAAAGATATTTACTAATACATAATCATCATTTAAAATACTAACAGCAAACGATGCCAATGATTTTTGCATCAGCCGTATGTCCAATCAGAAAATATAAGAATAAAATGATTGTAAGATAATGAAACTTATTTTCTTGTGCCGTATGTGAAATCGAGGTCAGACTGGCACTTTGTTTCATTTTTCTTGCTTATTTTAAAATTTCCTTAAGTTACTCCCTCCTTTCATGTGAAGGGCTGGGTAGTAATTATATTAGGCTTTGTGGGCTAGTGAGTTCGTGTTGCAGCTGCTCATTTCTGCTGCTGTGGGATCAGAGCAGCCACAGACCATACGTGTAGGATGAATACAGCTGTGGCCCCATGAAACATGTTGGACTTTTTTTTTTTTTTAACCAAAACAGGCACTGAGCCAGCTTTGGCCCTGCTGTTTTTGATTTTATGCTTCTTTATGCCTAAAAATGAACATGGAAATTGAGAGTGTTTGGGACCCTCATAGAATTAATTCAGCAAATTGTCAGGCATAGAAAGATACATCAATGTTGCTTCATGATTCTCAGAGTTATATTAACAAATTTCCCTATTTCTGTGAGTAGAGAGCATGAGGAAGACAGTCTGTGCTTTCACAGAGGAGATTTGCACAGAATAGTGACTCAACGGCAAACGTGCACTGTTAACGTGTTATCATTATACAAGAAGACGTTCCAGGGTTTATACAGCAAGGCTGAGCACATCCATACATGTAGCAGAACCAGCCTCACGAGTTCGTGGGAAAGCAAATCCATGGAAAAAGGATTATAAGAGTATCAACTTACGAAAGTTTTCTCCAACACGGGGAAATTATCGTTGACGTCTAAAACCTTGATTCTACACTCGCACTCGGAGGACAGTCCGTCTGTAGCTCCGTCCCGATCCGAGCCCCGCACGAGGAGGTTGTACATGCTGTGTTGCTTCAGATGGAAAAGAATTTTAAGACAGTTCTTGTTTTGAATAAAATTCAACACATTCTGATTATTACTCCATTTTCTTTTGTAATTTCTACCGTCTTTTAAAACAATTTTTTCTTGTCACAATTTTCATTTAAAAATAATGGTTGGATTATTTTTTACTTTTGTCCTTTAATTGGAGGAAGGGCATACTTTTTTTTATGTGTGTGTTTTTATTTTATTTATTTATTTGTTCGTTTGTTTTTGATGTTTTTAAAATTGAATTCCTTATTTCTTAAAATTCATTCACTGAGAACTTTACCTCTCTGTCAAGGAAACTGGACATCGTGCAGACTTCTCCGGTGTTCCTGTTCAGGATGAACATGGGTGCACCCGCTGGCTCCTGAGAGATGATCTTATAGGCAATTTTAGAATTCAGATGATTGTCTTCATCTGCATCTGTGGCACTTAACTTTACTACCAGTGTGTCTAGGAATGAAGATGGAGGTGAAGAGTGTTTGAGACTCTGTTAGAATCAATTCAGCAAATCATCAGGCAGAGGAAGAAAGAGTCGTCAGCCTTCTCCTGAATTCTTTTGTTCCTAGTGTTCCATGAAAATATATTACCATAACTTTCAGCTACAGCACTGATTATGAAAATAATGGTAGTTTGCGTCTATAAAATCCTTTACCACTTATAAAGTACTCCTTAAATGGTTAATTAGCAAGATACAGTAATTTTTAAAAAATCAATAATCTTTATCTTAAAAAATTTACTTATTAATTTATTTCAAGTAACTATAATAAACTCACTACATGGTTACATAAGTCACATCCTTCTTATAAAAATGAACTGTTTCAAAGTATCATTTAGTGAGAAGGCTGACATTGTCTCACATTTCTGCAAATATATTTAAAATTAAAAAAAATTTTATACAATTTTTAAAGGTTACTTTCCATTTACACTTGTTGCAAAATATTGGCTATCTTCCCTGTGTTGTTCAACACATCCCTGAGCCTGTCTTACACCCATAGTTTGTAAAGTAATTAAAGTCATCTTTAATGTGTGAAAAAAAATTCAACAGCCTTTATCACAAAGCTGAAAAACTGATTTTATCAATTTGTTTTTGCCACAGTTTCGTGAAATTATTTTAAAATGCTCAATTAGGAAAGATCATAAAAAAAAAAGGAAAGATCATAGCTTCAGCATTGTAGGTATTTTTTGAGTACCTATGTTCATTATTTTCACTCATCCAGAAAGCTGAAAATTATTATTGGTTGCCTTTGAAGATAATCATACTTTTACTGACCAGTCAAAAATACATAATGCTGGGAAAAAAGATGTATCTACAGGAAAATAAGGAGTTCCCAGTTATTCACAGACGTGAAGCACAGGCATCCTGCGCCAGTCCCCAAGGACATCGGCTCACAGGACAGATCTCCCAGGCTCGGCTGGTTCCTGATGTTTTTCTGCTGCCCAGCCAGCCTTCAGAGTGAGAAATCCTAGTACAGAGATCCAGGGACCCACTGAAGAGAAAGAGGCAGGTTTCACAGAACTCCTAGTTGATGAAGGTCTTCCTGGCCCGGTGGGGAGCTCCCCTCCCCTGCGGGACGCTAATGAGGCCGAGTAGACCCAGTTCTGGGCTTGGGTGTGCGTTTCACCATCCCTTCCTTCACCAAGGTCGTGCCGAAGTGTGTTTGGGGGAAACAATGATGGACTTTGGACACTCTTTCTGTTTTGCCTCTTTTAGGCAGAACCCTCGCTTTGTAACATCCTGTGTTACAAAACTTCCATGTTTCTTATTGTCAACAGCACTTTCCTTAGGGGATCTGAAAAAGGGGTTCTCCTGACACCCCTCCTCAACCTTTGCCCTTTGTTATCTCTTTCTGTCTTTCCTCTAACATCTCTTGTCTCTTTTTTCCTGCCCGCCCCCAGGCTTCTCCATCCTTTCTTTGACTCTCAATAGGGACCTCTAACTTGCTTTTTTCTCACCTGTCTTTCTTCCGGAATTTCTTTTTTCTATTCTTTTCCCCAAAATTTATTTAGATGTGTAAGAGCAAGACATAGATGTAAAAGGCAAAGGCATATATTAGAGGACTGGGGGCAGAAAGAGGCAGACGGCAAAGAGGGGAGAAGAGAGGAAGTAGCAATATAGGGAAAGCAAAAATGCAGAAAGGAGAAGGGACAGAAAGAAGGAAAGAGAGACGAGTGTGAGAGTTGGAGAATGAATGAAGCAGAATAAAAAAAAATGAGAGAATGGAATGTCACTTGGCTGTGTAGACTTTAAAGACCAGTGTTACCTTTGTGAGTGATCCCATGGCTACAACTGCAGGTGAACCCTTCACCACTCTGTCTGGTGTGGTTCAGCCCAGAATTTGAGGAATAGACCAGAACAGAGCCCATTTCACATTCTTATGTCTTCTCTTCAGTTAGTCATGAGCCCAGTGACAATCTCTGAGGAAGGCGCTAAGCTCCTGACAAGTCGTATGTCTGAGGATCCTCCACAAACAAGAGGATGTTTAGCATTTTAGATAATGATTTTTCTCTCAGTCAGTTTTAAGTTAGAGTTTGTGAGGTTTGTTCAAAGTACAAATTCGCCTTTTTCTGATACTGAAATTACCTGTGTTTTGACTAAGAGAAATAGAGATGGCGTAATGAGGGAAGGAGTGTCTTTCTACTTACTGGCATCGCTGTTTTCTTCGATGCTGGCTGTGTACACATTTTGCGTAAAGACAGGGCGATTATCGTTTATGTCCATGACTTTGACTCTAAGCTCAAGAGGCTTTTCTAAATCTTCACCCCGCGAGTTCAGAGCCCGACAATAGATCTGTGGAAAGTTGGGGAAAAAAGACTGTCTTTCTCCAGCAAAGGAACAAGTAACACGCTGGAAAATATACCAGGAAATGTGCAAAGAGAATGCTCAGTGAATTTTCCCAGTGAATTCAGACTATATTACAGTGATATTGCTATATTACAGTAATTTAAATATCATCAAGACATTTGGTCCCATTCATATGCAGCATAACACAGAATCTTGAACTCTAAACTTATATTTATATGCTTTTCATCTGTCCAAGCCCTTTATTTGATTTCAGTCTACAGTGTTTTATCAAAAATAAGTATTAGCCCTGAGATTTTTTTTTTAAAAAAGGGATGAAGATATGCGTAAATCAAAACACACTGCTTGACTTACCAAGAAAAGCGGCGTTATCTCTCTGTCCACCACTGATGTGATGTTGATTTCTCCCGTCCGAGGATTGATGGTGAACACTCCATAGGGCGGTCGATCAATTCCTGCCCCAGAGATGCGGTATGTAATCCTCTGATTCACTTCACAGTCTGATCGGATCTATGAGGAAGAGGACCGGGATGGTCATCTGATTTAGAGCAGATCGTGATCTGCAGAGTGTAGTGAGATGGGAAGGGAATGGGCCTGGTAGACAGAAGGGGCTTTGGACCAAAACCTGGCACCATGATTTACGCCTGTGTGTAGAGCAGATCGTGATCTGCAGAGTGTAGTGAGATGGGAAGGGAATGGGCCTGGTAGACAGAAGGGGCTTTGGACCAAAACCTGGCACCATGATTTACGCCTGTGTGACTTGGGAAGATTCACTTAGCTTTGCCAAGCACCAGCCTGTATCCTAGGTTTGTTTTGGGGATTGTATGAGGTAACATGTAGACACTCCACCCCAGTTCCTGGCAAGTGGCATATACATGCTCCATGCCAGATTTGTTAATTAAGAATACATTGTCAGGGTAGGGGATAGCTCAGTGGTAGAGTGCTTGCTTAGCATATGCAAGGTCCTGGGTTCAATCCTCCATTAAAATAATAAACAACAAGTAAGTTAAAAAAAAAAACTAATTACCTCCCCCCAAAATAAATTTTGGAAAAAGAATACATTGTTTAGTTCTCTGATTTTCTTTGCATCTAGCGAAAGAGTTTGACGGAAGAAATAACCATCCTTACTATTTTTGAAAAGATTGTGTTACGTTTATGTGTACAACTGTCTGGACTTTAGTTAGAGATTTAATAAAAATCATAGATAAAGAAAGCCAGAAGAGAAATACTGTGTTTAGAGGTATTGACAATAATTTTATCAGTTGAAACCTACCATCACTCATTTGCCAAAAAGATTTTATGGCAGATATTCCGCCACATAGGTTTTGTTTGAATCATTTTCTGTCAATTGCTCATAAATTTAACGAAAGGTATTTTAATTTTGAGATCTCACCTGTATACAGAAGATGAGAACACTCAGTAAAATACTGAGATTTGTTGCCCAAATGTCCACAATTAAAGACAGCTGGAAATACAACTTGGATTAGCTCCACTCTAATCCAAAGATCTTATTTATAGAGATGAAAATCCAGGAAATCCCCCAAATGCAAATACAGAGAAAAGAATGTGCTCCTGAGTGGGACAACATGAAGCTGTAACTGTGAGTTGAAAGGGAACAGTAACAGTTTAAAGCTTTCTCCAAATTTTCCCAAATTTGAAAACTTCTGAGAGAGATTAATCTCTTTTCTTGAGCTGAGATACAGTACTGCTGATGCTTATTATATATGTAAAGTTCATTATATGCATTTAAGCCATGTGTACGTGTGAAGCTATAAGTAGAGAATTCTAGAAGATCACACTACTGTGGGTTTCACTAGGGGGGCAAGACAGAGATGCCCAGACAGAGCTAGTGAGGCTGATAATGTGGCCCCATTCTTCCTCGGTCAGTATGTTACACATTCTTCTTTTAACTCTTCTTCCTTATTGATCCCCATTAGTTAGAATCCTTTTTTTAACGACTCTCCTAATTTCTGGATGTAGGAATCTAGCAGGGACTTCTGACTTTATCCTTACTTCCTTGGAGAGAATTAATCAATACTGTAGACCCTTGATTTGGGGGAGGGGTAGTCAGATGGCTGTTCACCGTGCATACACTTCCTGTAACATACACATGTGACAATAAGCAGACACAAACGAACAGATAAAGCCGGGTTGTGCTGGAGATCCCAGTCTCTCTTCTAGGATCCCGCAAGGCCCCTCTGCTCTGTATCGGCTCCTAGAAGGTGACATTCAAACCAGCGCCTCAGCAACAAGAAATCACTTCATGTCCCCCATCTTCCTAAATCACTGTGAAGTAGTGAAGGCTGCAAATGCTCGCAATGTCTGAGGGCTTTCCCGCCCCGCAGAAGCCTTTGTTATCAGCACAGCAGAGCCCTGTTTCCTTCATCACTTACTCTGGCAATCGGATTCCTCTTGGAGTTGTCTTCTCCTTCTCGACAGGCTGCAGCAAACTTGATCCACTCCCGCTTCTGTCTTCTGACCGTTTGCCATTTCGTGGTGCCGTTTTCCACGTCAAATTCTTTCACCTTCCGCAAAAAGCGTTCACATTTCATACAGTGTTAGAACAGCTTTATTCAGTAAAGACATTTATCCCGCATTGTAAGCTCACCCAGAAGCAGCCATGGTACTGAATTTGAGGAATAAAGAAAGTTTTTACTAGTTCATAACTCTAGATAGATGTAGCTTGGTCACGCTGACCTGCACCTTCTCTTGGAATCATCTCTTTTCTAACTGTGTGATTCTAGTGAATCAAATTGCATTAGCTACGTGTGGAGCTCAGAGGGTGTTAAATGGATAATATGTGTGGCTTTTCTTTTTCCAGTCTGTCCTCACCAGGTGAGAGGCTTTGCTCACCTCACCCTCCATTGCTCTCAGACCAGACTTTCTGGTCTCGAGTTTAAAAGATTGCCAGTGTTCCACGCAGCTGCCTCCCATGCAAAAGGCAGATTGTGCCGGTGAGTGGGTGCGCGTGTTCACCTAAAAGGAGGAAGATATTTTCCTCTTCTCTTGATAAGGACTCCTCTCTGGCTAAGCATCCAAATAAATTATTGCAGGATTAGAAGAAAATTTTAGTGGAGTTGTTGGTACCTGCAACAATCCCATGGACACCAACGTGGCTTCTCGGTGTTGTCCATTTGAACCTCTGCTTACTGGCTGCTTTCCTGTTTGTATTCTTATGTTGCTATTGTTGGAGGATGTTTAAGAATTTTATAGTTAAAGATTTTAGAATACTAAATTCTACGTGGATAAATATATTTGTATACACACATAAGCGTGTATTTTTACATAGAGATTTTACAAAGAGATTTTTAAATAGAGATTTTACAAAGAGATTTTAAAAAATCCTTTGTATTTATTGAGACTTCCAATGTATTTATTGAGATGTAGATGGCTCTGTGTTTGCTTTAGCCAAAGCTTCATAAGTACCACTTTGGGGAAGGAAATGTTCCCTGTGAATGGAGCTTATCCTTTCAAGAACCAAAGCATTTGCCTTCCCCCCCACCCATTTTGATACAACTTCTTGAAATGCACCACATATTCCCTAGCTTGTCAACAGAGAGTAGAAAAATAACTTTATTTTCTTCAATGATTTGAGATCATCATCATAAAAAATTTTAACTGCCCTGCCAGAGATAGAAGATAGTAACTTTATTTCCTGAGTCCCACCACTCCAAATTGGTACCAGATTCTCTTTTGTTTTACATAGTTGTGTTGCATATTTTTAATTTTCATATTTTTTCTTCACTGGTTTACTATCAGTTGTCTTTCTTGCTGACATCACTGTCTGAAAATCCTCCTCCCATTGTGATATGTTATTTTGCTTCGTTTTATTTGCTTCAGGTTGGGAAATGTCTGACTAAGCTACTAGTGTTCTTTGGTAAGTAGGAGTTACTACACCGAGCTGTCACAAACCATGTCCAAAACCATGGCCACTTGGGAGCGTGGCTTTACCGTGGCTATTTCAATTTGGCAGTGGTTCTTTCCCTTACCTTTTTTATCTAGACAACTCTGGTTTCAAATATTCTGATTTTTGATATGTGAAGCATTACGAAATTCAGTTTTTCTCTTGATTTTAAATTGAGAAAATAGTTTCGTTATACATTACCTCAACGATAAATTCGCTGTTTACTTCCAGCAGCACCTGTTGTGGAAGGTACACTATTAGCATACATTTGCATAATTTAAAGGAAGCAGCATCATAAGACCATTGACAGTGTTCTCTTATTAATTCATTTGTTAAATACACATTTTGTTAATAGTGTGGAATAAACATGGGTAGTGCAAAATGAATGATACAGGCTTTGTACCCTCTAAAGGCTTAACCTTCAGGGAAGACAAACATGTAACTACAGCCAGGCAGGTTGGAATATGTGCTTCGACTGAGGCACCGATGGGCTCAATGGACAACTCAGGTTAGCAAAGTGAATTCTGGGAAAGCCGCATAGGAGTGCAGGGATTTGAAAGGGGTTCTAGGGGATGAACCTGCTTTGATAAGAGGAATTGAAGAAAATCTCAGCCAGAGTAAAACATGAGCGCAGATGTGAAGGCCCTAAGTTTCAGAGGATATTCTAGAAATGGTAAATGCTACTGGCTGGAAGGGAGAGGAAATAGTGAGGGGACATGACAGATCAGGTTTGGAATATCAGCTTGGAGGCAGATCTTGAAGTGCTTTATATACCAGACTAAGGAGTTTGGACTTTGTTGGACAAAAGCATGGCTTTTAAACATGTCATTGAATCAAGGGAAGGTTACAGGGGAAAAGCACTTGAAGTTGAGACACTCAGGAATTAGGAGTTGCTTAGATAAGACATAGCACTTGAACATCGGTGCTGAAGTGGCACTGGGAAGGGGAGAGGATGAAAACGATACCCAAGAACCGATAGGGCTTATGGACTGGGGACCGAGGGGAGGAAGAGTCAGATGATTCCGGTGATGTGAGCTTGGCTTTGTGGGAGAATCCAAGTGCTATTAATAGAAACAGAAATTTCAGCAGGAGAGCATCACTGCAGGGAGATGACGACTGAAGTTTTATTTATTTTCAGTGTGTTTCTGAAACTTGGGATAGATGTAAAAGCTAAAGAAGTAGAGTTTATCCAAACAGGAGTGCTATTGAAAGTTGAAGGAAATGAGGCTATGACACTGAAACAGTTTAAATGAAGTAGGCAGGCAACAGAATCTCATGGGAAAGCTTATGTTTGTGCAGGGGGCAGGAGGAAGAAGTCTAAACGCAGAGGGTGCCGAGAGACTAAGAGGAGAGCGAGGTCAAGGGACCAGGGCAGTGGGTGCCCAACAGATTCCATTAGAGTAAGAATGGTGAGAAGGGGCGGGGCTTGTGGTGGTTGTGGTGGAGCGTTGGTGAGGATGCCGAGTTCAGAACAGAGAAGAGGCTGGATGAGGGGTGGAGGAGGAGTAGCAAAAAAGGAGGCAGAACGAGTGTAAGTAGTGAGAAGAAGTTAGACAAAGGCGGAATAGTCAATGGTTGGTGCGCCCTAGCAAGGTGCGAGGAGGAGGGGAATGAGACGGTCATGGGATCTGAACTTAGCAGTCGCTGCTCACTTTCGCCAGGGGCGTAAGTCAAATGACAGGAGTCAAGGAATGAGTTATTGAGAAAGTGGAGAGAGCAATTGTAGAAATTGCATTTTTGAGTTAGGAGATAAGGGAACCAAGAAGTATGATGCAGTTGAGGATTTAATTGGAAAACCATGACCAAGTATACAGTCTACCGGGAGAGGAAAAGGTGTTTGTGAAGAAAGAGTGACGGCAAGAGAAGGGGGACAGGAAACGGGGGGGAGGAGGAAGGAGTCAAGGAGTACTGAACTGTTGTGATTAAGAGAGACTAGGAATGGCTGAATCAAAACTGTGGGTAAAAGAGCTGATAGTGAGGCAGACTATTTCTTCCTTTGAAACAGTCAGAAGAATGCAATGAAGAGAGAAAGTCATTTGGAAGTGGAATTGCAGGAAAATTACACGCATGCCTATTCCACTGCTTGGCGGAGTTGGAGTGAGCAGGAGTCGGGAGGGGCTGGAGGAGACTGTCCAAGCCCTCTAGGGTCTGCCCGAGGGCAGGTGACAGGAAGCCAGCTCAACACCACGAATCAGAGAGGGGCGGTCAGCCCACCTCGCATTCCTGAGTTAGGGACCACGTGAGCACAGAAGATAAATGATTATCCCGCAGTTGGTGCCCAGTGTGAGGCCCAGCTGAGATTAGGAAGCAAGAATAGAATGCGGTCCTGGCTGTTTTGTGCCTTTTCTAGTAGAACCTGGCGACCTGGAAGCGGGAGGAGAAGGAATGGGAGCATCGGGGATTGTTGTCAAGTCCGAGAGTGGAGAGTCAGGGAGATGATCAGTCAGGAGTGTGACTCCAGCGAGTCAGGGAGCTCCAGTGAACTGAGAGGCTAGGGAGAGACTGGGACAGGGGCAGGGGTGCAGAACGGATTTTGCAGGTGTGAGGTGGGTGTGAGAGGGAAGTGGGGTTGGGGGGATTTGCAATGATGCTGACTCCAGAAGGAGGGGAAAAGAGATTAGCAATTTGGCAGTAGGGCCCGGTGTTTCCTCTTAACTTCCTTTCTCCCCCATGTGAACTTTTATCAGACATTATTAGTAAAATACCTAGACCTGGAAAAAACATTTAATATTTAATAGGAGACGGTTTTAATTGGTTGCATAAGGTGTTTTGTTTCATAATAAATATTGCTGTTTGGAGTTTAGATATTTTTCTTGTTAGAAAGTAGATGATTCTAGAAGGTATAAGAAATGTAAAAATCACACAGAAGCACACTGCTTAGAGATCATCATGGTTAATATTTGGAGAAATTCTTTCAGGCTTTCCCCCCCCCCAAACATATACTTATACAAGTTGTGTTTTTTTTCTAACCAAAAAAAAAAAAAGAAATTAGATTATACCACACCATTTGATAATTTGGTTTCTGCACTCAGTTATTAAGGTAAAGTTCCATGTCAATGAATGCACAGAGACATCACACATTTTGAAGGTTGCCTTGTGTGTCACTTTAGAAGATGTCTTCCACGCAGGTCATCGGGATACTAGTATAATACAGAACTGATGGATTCTGAACTTTAGAGCTGCAGACTAAACTCTGACCCGTCATTCTCAGGCGCTGTCCTCCAGCGGAGGTCAACTAGCAGTGCTGCCTTGGTGGGTGTCAGAAGGTTGGTGAGCTCAGTACACGAGCCCGTGGTTATTAGGAAGGTCTCCCTCCTCATCCTCACCTCCCCACTCGTCTCCCTTCTCTCCCTCTCCTCTGCTTCTCCTCTTCTCTTTCTTCTTTTCCCTCTTACTGCTCCTCCTGCCCTTCCTGACATTGGCTCAGTCCTGACCGAGAATCACTAGCCTCACTGCACTGCTAACCCTTAAAGCTGTAATCAGCCCAGCCACCTGACATTGACCGAGGTGGTGAGAGTCCTAGCTGGGGTTCTGCTTGTAATACAGTCAGTGACGGGGCAGGTAATTTTCACTGTATCTGGTTTCTGCTCTTTACTGGCCTGCAAGGTTGATACTGGATGTACGCAGGGTGGAAACACCCGCTGGAGGATGGACCCAAGTCGCTGATTATTTTTGCTAAATTAATTAAACAAGGAGGCCATTAGATGGAGGTGGTGCTGATGCTATGGCGCCAACCAAAATCTAAGCCTGTAAATGCCGCAGGGTGACCAAGCTGAAACCTAAGGACAGCTGATCGCAGTCAACTAGGCTTTAAACTGCAGCCAACCAGTAATTTCCTTATTTTGCTTTTGCCTTTTCTCTGTAGAAGTTTTCCCCCCAACTTCCGTTGATGGAGCAATTCCAGTCATTTCTGGTTTGGCGATGCCTGAGTTGAATCAACTTTTGTTCACATAAATTCTTACAATTTTAATATGCCTCAGTTTATCTTTAAACAATTCATACACTCCATGCCTAAAGCTTCTCTTGAGTCACCTGATATTATTTAACCAAATCCCTCTAATTTTGCTTAAACTTTGCTGGCATATAACTGTGGCTTCCGGCTTTGGGAAAATATTGATGTTTGTGTGGACTAATTTTAATGTTGTCTTGCAGAGGTCTTCAAAACTTTTTGCTTATGTAGCCCTAAAGTTTTGTTGAGAAATGATATACTTCTTCAAAATTTTCTGCAGTGATATCTAAAAAATTTTGTTATAGGTTTAAGTAGCTGTGAAAGATGGAATTTAAGAATATGACAAATGTTGATATTTTAAAATAAAGCTGTTGTATTACTTTTAAAGGTAGCCAATAGAATCCAAAAGTTGTAGTCATTTGATGTCCAGTCCCATCCATTAAAAAATAGATGAGTAAGTTCTTTAATAGTTGAAAATTTTATTTCATTTCTATTTCTCCTTGAACTGTCTCCTTGAAATATTTTATTTCCATGTAGTGAACCGTATCCTCTATAGATTTCTCCTAGCGGAATTTATTAACTGTTCAATATATTTTAATATCTTTTTAAGGAAAGCGTTTATTGAAGTCAATCACACTTGTCTGCAACAAAAATGTGAATAGAAATTTTATTTTGTTGGAATTCTACAATTCTGAGGCTCTCAGCGTTAAAAATCAATTTCCCCTAGATTGAATTAGCTTTACAATTGTTATGAGCAGCACAATTGATTAAACTATGTGCAAATATGGAATTTTTGATGCGATAGTATTACATAGAGAAAGTAAAATTTTGTCAGAAGCTCATTGCAAAGGTATGGATGAAGCTTTTAAAAAATGAGTTCATGAATAAATATTACTTACTGCTAGAATGAAACAAGTTTTAGCATCAATTCTATTTTGTTGGGTTTTGTTTTTCAGTTGTAAATACTGAGAAAACTTATTCACACAAATAGGTGGATGATCTTGGATTTTTTTAGTAGCAGAGTCATTATATTCTTTAAACTTATTTTGAATTATATTATTTAAATCTACCAAGTAATTTATCATTACAAATAATTTTGGAATGACCTATTAGCTGACAACTCTATTAGGTCTTATGTTAATTTTGTTGAAAATAAATCCTTGAAAACCATATGACTTTCGCAAAAGGACTCATTATGAGCTTCGGAGTTAATGCTCTTTCTCATTATTAACGTTGATATTTTGAGTTATCCTGTAGTTTAGTGACCCAGATACTTTTACAATCCACT